ACACTTACTGATGAAGCAGATGAACCCCACATGAAGCAGAAGCCAATGAGACGGAGACCAGTACAGAAGAAGATACGTCCCGTAAAATTAAGAGACTTTGTTGAATTGTAATTTTGTGATTGTAATTCTGTACACTTAATTAAGTTATTGTTAACTGTTATTGGTTTATTGTATGTGGCTATTGTTCGGGACGAACAATACTAAGGAGGGGGCAGTATTGCGTCAGCGAGGTCATGTGACTAGTGTCACGCCACCTATTTTCTAGAAATATCCTGCTCCTTCGTGAATGCCCTAGCATTTACTAGATATATGTTTGTCTGGTATATATATAAGACGCTCACAACGTGACGGGATAATGTGTGTAGGTAGTGAGTAATTGAACTGCAGTCAGAAAGTATTGTTGAAGTTAACGTTTGTTATAGAGCAACTGTTGAAAATAAATGTATCGGTAAAGTTATATTCAGAAAGAATAAACCAGTTTTATTAAGTAAGGACTTGTGTCGCTAAAGTTTCGTCGGAACGAAGTTACGGAAAATCAGTTAACGACTGGAGGTGTAACAACTCCATGTTTCAGTAAGAGCTGTATACAAGACTCTGAAGAGGGTATGTGGAACTAGAATTGCTAATAAGCAAACTAGTTAAGGTTGAAAACTGAAAAAATTCCAGGGTATATTTTTTCCAAGAAAAATTATGGTTGAAGACAGGTTTTGAAAAGTGATCTTTTTATAAATATAGGTGTGAATCTTACCTTGAAAACAATATGATACACATTGACATAAAGTAGTCTCAATGGATGTATAGCTGCTCATAAACAGCTGCTAAAAAGAGATAATGAAAAAATAAAAAATTGAAATGAGCATTTGACCATAAACAATGAAATCAGCAAATTGTTCAAATTGTTTGGCAACAATCAACAACAGTTTGTTTGATGGAAGAAAGGAAAATGGTATCATAGTCAAAGTACTAAATCAACAGTCAAGCATGGTGGGAGATTACTATCAGTTTGAGGCTGCATCTCAGTCAGTGATGTTGGTAATCTACATAAAATTGAAGGCATTGTAACTGTTGATAAGTACAAGTGGATTGTAATCCATTATGCCATTGTGCAGGAACACAATTTATCAGGAGGTGTTTATTATCCACCAATACAATATAGAAAATATGTTGAAAAATATCTTAACAGCAAAGAGGTTGAAGGAAATCTCAAAATCATAGATTGACCTGCATAATGTCCTGGTATGAATATTCTTGAAGCTATATAGGCTTATGTGAAACCTAACCAACTCAGAAGGTAGCCAAACAAGTTAGCTAACTGTAGGAAGTAATATAGGACATCAGGAACAATATTTCACAGTTTTACATTGATAAACTATATGGCAACGTGAAAAAAAAGTGTAATGCTTTGTGTAAAACAAAAAGCTCATGTATAGAACATTAGTGCCATTACTAGTTGTTTGTGACTCCAGTATGTGTATTGCTTTTGCATTTTCGTAATTATTTTCATTACTGTATATGTTAAATAGAATTCAATATTTAATTATTTTAATGTTTTAAACATTGAAGTACACTTGGATTCTACTGTGATGCAAAAAATCTAGTGTTAAGGCATTGCACTAAAAACTTTGAACTAGAGGTAAATCATAACTTACAGAGGTTGAGCACATTATATGAGAATGATTTTAAATAAGCAAATCAGCAAGTCATATGACTTCGATATAAAAATTGTTGTGGAATAGCATGTATCAAAACTAAATTTTGATATTGTTTTGTATTTAGTAGATAGTGTGGTACACTGAAAATATCTTTTGCGAAAGGTATAAAACAATCCTTTTCGATGGAAAATATTCATACACTCAGATCATAGAAATGTGTTCATATTGAAGATTTATAATTTACAAGACTTGGATATCTTTTATACGTAATGGCATGGAAAACAAAGGAATTTTATAAACTTGGAGCACTAGAACCATCCAGAAAGAGACCTGCAACAATTCATATTCCAGCCTTAGTAAGCAAAGTGTGGCATCTTGTAATGGGTGAAAATTCACAAGAACAGAGGTCAGTGTCAAAAAATGTCTATGTGGGCAACTTTATGCAACATAATCAAGAAGAATGTCTGTCTGAAAAAGTTGTGCAAGTCACGTTTGCACAAATTACTTGTTAAACATATTTGTTCAGTGTTAACATACCTCAAACAACTGGAGAATGAAATAAGTATTCATATTATTCCATACAAAGATTTACCACTCGGTTCATTAGATGCCATGCCAGTGAATTTCCTTGTAAAAATTAGCACTGGGAAACCATTGTCCTGTTACGCTAGATAAATTGTGGAAAGCCAGCAGGGAGGATTGGTGTACTTAGGCCATGACAGCCTTATAATGGAACTTTTTGAAATGAAAACTGTGCTGCAGGGCTATTATCAAAATGTACAGTCATCAGGTAGAGCATGACAAGATGTAGCAACATCGACTGTAACAATGTGGTGAGGCTCCAAACTCATTTTAATGTAATGTGTGAGTCAACCTTTGTATAAGTTTAAATCATTTCTGTATCAATTTATAGTAATTATTTTGTTTATGTTCTTTATTATTTATCTTAAAGTTTGAATATTAAAATTTTAAAGACATTGTAAGCATTCGGAGCATTCAGTTTTTGGTGTAATTATTATTTAGTAATTTCGTACAGACTTAATGTTTTTGACATATTTTGTACTTGTTTCAACCTGAGAAACCTGCTTGTAATGTATGTAGGAGAGTGGGAGCACTGGAAAAGCAAAGTCGAAGATTATGTCTATCCTGACTCATACACTCCAGAATACAGTTCCATACTTGTACCAAATATTGATAACATCTGTACTGACTTTCTCCTTCAGACTGTGGCAAGACAGGGCAAGGTATATGTGTTATCTTTTAATTGAAACTAAACTAAGTATAGTAATTCTGAATTTAAGAAGTTAATAATTCAGATTATAATGCATATTTTATTTAAAAAATATGATAACATTGTATTATATTTGCTACTGATTTTAGATATGTGGTTGTGGTTATTATTTCAAAATCTATTTCAAGTCTATTTTTATATGATTTGTATTTTAAAAGGAACTTTTCACAGAATATGTTGCTGCATGTTTTGTCAAAACCATGTATGCATCTTCAAATTGTAAATGGTACATTTGTCACATTATCAAAACTTTGTAGTTCACATGACCTAATTTTTGTAGTCTCTAAACTGTGTGCATGGCTTCTTTTTCATACAGTACTTCCCATTTTATAATGCATGCCACAAACCTTCCATAATTCCCTATTGGAATCAAAGGTTGATTGGTTGATGAAAGAGGAGAAGTCATTTCTCACCCCCACACCATACCTAGTTCATCTTGTTCAAATTCCTACTCAGTCAGGCCCAACCTTCTACCTTTGGTTGAGGGCTATGGAGCTTCTTATTTGCAGCCTTCCCTGTTCTCCTTCCACTGCATGAGAGGTGGTTCTCTCTCTTTTGGGGAAGTGGGTTTTTTTGGAAGCCATCATCCCTCTTGGTCATGCCCACATGCATCCCCTTTTGTGGGTTTTGTTGGATCAGTGGAGCCTCATTCAGGACCCCTTGGATGCCCTCTCTCTTTCTTCCTCATTCCTTACAGAATGACTTTGTGTGGTGGTTGGTTTAAGACAACACCACTGTGTGTGTTCCTCTTCATCCTCCTTGTCCAGAATATCACCTCTTTCTGGATGCCTCTCTTTCCGGTTGGAGTGCCTACCTGAATGCTTGGGTGGTCTTGGGGCAAGGGCCTCTATCAGAGTCTTCTCACCATATCAATCTCTTGGAGCTCATTGCTGTTCATTGGGCTTTGGTTCCCTTCCTTCTGGCCATTGAGGGCCTGTTGGTGATGGTACATTCTGACTACTTGACTGTGGTCTCATCCATCTCCAGGCAAAGGGGCACTCAGTCGAGAAGCCTCTGTTTTCAGACTCTGGACCTCCTGTATTGGGCCCAAGGCCATCCTATTCATATGATGACTTGTCATATTTAGGGTGCCCTGAATATAGTCACAGATCATTTATCTCGTCCCAACAGAATTCTTTAAACAGAATGGTCACTGGACCCACTGGTGTTTTGGTAGCTCTGTTCCCAGTGGGATGTTCCATATCTTGATGCCTTAGGCACTTATTTCCATTCCCAGCTCCCTTAGTTTTGGTCTCCTGTTCCACATCCATTGGCTGGAATGGTATATGCTCTCAGTCAGGCTTGGACGGGCCTCTACCTGTATGCCTATACTCCCATTCATCTGCTTCCACATTTCCTTTCCATCATCATGACCTCTCCATGTCGTGTTATTTTCAGCCTCGTCTTCCATTCACCTGCTCTTTCTCTTTTGTTTTGCTTACTCTGCCTCATATGTCCCCCTTGCCCTGCCTCTCTCTCCCTGATTGCATCCTTAATATCATCCTCCACGCCCTTACCCTTCCTCCATTCGAGCCTTTGTCAACCTGTTCCTTCTATCACCTCTTCTTACAGACCCTTTTCCTCCTCATGTTGGCAGGTGAATGTCGGTGATTGGATGTGTTTGCTATTGATGTACACTCACTTTATTTCACTGTTCCTATGTGGTCCTTTACCCCAATAATTATTTCTTGCCCAACAATTCAGCCACTTGGGAGAGTAAGTGTGTCTTAACACCCATCTCCTTTCCTTTTGTATCACACTTTTATCACCATTTCGACTTTTCTCATCTCCTCTGTTTGGTTAGGGCTCTCTGCTGTTATGTGGTATGCACTGCTGTTTGTTTATTCCTTGGAATCCCTTCCATTCCTGTGACATTTCTCCTATTCTCCTTATGGGTTGGATTTGCTAGCTTCTTTGCCTGGCTTATTCTTCTCTTTCACTGGATATTTTCATCTTCTCCATTTCCCAGGCTGCTCATTTTCATCATCTGTTGGAGGACATCATTTGTGTCAGTATGTGGATTACTCCTCATACCTTCACTTATCATTATCTTCACTTCCTGGCCATTTCCCATTCTATAGATTTTTGTCATCCTACTGTCAACATTTTGTGCTCCGCGACTTCTCTATGAATGTGTAAGCTCCTTTTTTTTTCTCTACTTCTTTGTAGGAGCCCTTTTTTGCATCTGAGGATCCTGATTTGTGGCAAGTTTTGCCTGAACAGGTATACTTATTTATAAATCCACACTGTAAGAACTGCATGTCACATATGCCCACTGTTGAGATGGATTGTTCCACAAGTATGCTTGTAGGTATTAATCACAGTATTTTGCTTTATAAAGATGTTCACCCTGGTCCGTACACTCATTGACTAACATGAGTAAAGTAGATGTAGGTCACTGGATCAGTCTTCTTTTCAAAATAAGGTGCCATGGTCACACATTGCATTGCTTCTGGTGAAGTATTCCTCCAGACTCTCCAAGTCACTGTTTCTCCCTTCTTTTGGTGGAGTATGGGAGTACTTGCCACTTACCGGTTTGTAGGTGCTGGGGTGGTGGACCATAGAGGCTTCCTCCTGAGTGTACTTAGAGTAGTGTTCTGCCAGTGTAGATGGAGTTGATGCTTATCCTACCATTGACCTTATGTACAATTTTGAATGCCATCAGATGATGGATAATGCATTCTGCCAACATGCAGTTCGCCCATCCAGCTGAGGCACCCTCCTTCCTATTATCCCCTGGATGTCGGTTCCTGGCAGATTTCGTAATGGTTATGTTGGATGTGTGCACATGATGATGCAGATCCCTGTTATGGAGGTTCATCATCCCTACCAGTTCCTGTATCCAAGATGAAAGGTAAAGGACCCTCTTCCTACTGTGGGTCAGATATCCCTATCATGATTTCATGGTATTGATTGAGGTCAATCTCCCATTTATGGTCCAATGTGCCCCAACCACTCTACACCTGAGCTCTCTTAATTTCACACATGTATGTGGCTGGTTACTCTCCTCCTACCATGGACTGGATTATACATTCCCAATGCCGCTTTCTGACGGACTGGAGATGCACCTCCACTTTGCTGTCCACCTTCCTACCATCCCTCATCCCTTATTGCAACACATTTTCATGTGGGCATGAAAGTGGTATGGTCTCCCATGTGGGTGTTGCCTTCTGTTTATTCACACACCCCATGGTCTTCCTTTGGGCACTTTCTAAAGGGGTATCATCTTCTCACTAGACCCTTTGCCAACTCAATGTGGGATTCTAGATATTTGTGAAGGAGGTAAGATATCGTATTGGAAGTTAGTATTTTCCTACACTGAAAATGTATTTTGGATAGATACTTACCTCCTCTCACATTTGCCACCCGACCCCCCCCCCCACTTCCTATTGGGGGAAGGGTTTCTGTATGATTATTTGCATGATAGCATGCAGATGTCTCATGTGAATACATGTGAGAGTAGGTGGGAGTACCAAGGCTATTGGCGAGTGAATATTTGCACACATATAGAGGATAGTATAAGTCGAGAAAAGCTACTTGTGAGTGAAGGTAAGTATCTATTGGAAATACTCTTTTAGTGTAGGGAAATGTTAACACTTCAATTACGCTATGTTTGTCATATCCATTGCTGATGATATGTTTTGCTCAATCCAGAACTCTTCTGGCCAGCTGGGATACAGCAAACACTGTAATGTAGCACTAATGTCAAAATAGATTTTAATCATTAAAGTTAGTTTCAGAAAATTAGTTTCCATTTTTTATCTATTACTCTGTTATGAAATAGAAAGCTGTTGCATAAAACTTAGTAGTAATACTACTGAGTTATAAGATTCAACCTGTGTGTCAGTTTCAATCTATACATTTGTAAGGCACTTAAAATTCAACAGTCTTGTTATAGACATGGAAAATCATTCTGTTTTGTTTTCATGTCTTATTAAGATTTTAATATTGCATAAATAATTGGGTTCTTTATGAATTTTATTAGATAATTTCTAGAATATTTTAGTCATCAGACAATTCTCACTCAAGAAGAGGTGAACTAATCATCTTAGAAATGACTAAATCCTTGGTAGGCTTTATGGCCATTTTATTTCTTTGGTGTTCTAAGGTTCAATATGGACCAAACACACAGATATGTGACTTTGCAACAAGAGAGGTGTGTGAATCCAGTATTTGAAAATTCCTGTTGAACAAGCTGATTGAACTAATGGAAAGCACTATTGCTTTGTTGGAAGAATTCATGAAACAAGCTGTTTGAAATTAAATATATGAATAAACTGTTCTTAAATGAAAGCAAGTAAAAATTAATTGCAGTTAATAAAGGAAAATGAAAACAAGCTTGATACTGGAATGAACTGAAAACCTTAGTCTGACTAATAATGGCTGGAGACGGCTTAAAT